CACCACACACCACCACACATCGCCACAGACCATCATACACCCCCACACACCACCACACACCACCACACACCACCACACACCGCCACACACCACCACACACCGCCACACACCACCACACACCACCACACACCACCACACACCACCACACATCGCCACAGACCATCATACACCCCCACACACCCCCACACACCACCACACACACCCCCACACACCACCACACACCACCACACACCGCCACAGACCATCATACACCCCCACACACCCCCACACACCCCCACACACCACCACACACCACCACACACCACCACACACCATCATACACCCCCACACACCCCCACACACCACCACACACCACCACACACCACCACACACCATCATACACCCCCACACACCCCCACACACCCCACACACCACCACACACACCCCACACACCCCCACACACCACCACACACCCCCACACACCACCACACACCCCACACACCACCACACACACCCCCACACACCCCCACACACCACACACACCACCTCAACACACCACCACCACCACCACACACCACCATCACACCACCATACACCCCCACACCACACACCACACACACCACCTCACCACACCACCACACACCACCACACACCACCATCACACCACCACACACCACCACACACCCCTACCACCACACACCCCCACCACCACCAACCCCCACCACCACACACCCCCGCCACCAACCCCCACCACCACACACCACCACACACCCCCCACACACCACCACACACCACCACACACCCCCACACACACCACACACACCACCACACCACCACCACCACACACACCACCACACACCACCACACCACCACACACCACCACACCACCACACACCACACACACCCCACACACCCCCACACACCCACCACACACCACACACACCACCACCACACACCCCCACACACACCACACACACACCACACACCCACACACACCACACACCACCACACACCACACACACACCACACACACCACCACACACCACCACACACACCCACACACCCCCACACACACACCCACACACCCCACCACCACCACCACACCACACACCACCACACACCACCACCACACACCACCACACACCACACACCACCACACACCACCACACACCACACACACCACCACACACCACCACACACCACCACACACACCCACACACACACCACACACACCCCCACACACCACCACACACCACACACACACCCCACACACCACCCACACCACACCCACACCACACACCCACCACACACCACCACACACCACCACACACCACCACACACCCCCACACACCCCCCACACCCCCACACACCACCACACACCCCACACACCACCACACACACACACACCACACACACACCACCACACACACCACCACACCACCACACACCACCACACACCCACACACACCACCCACACACCACCACACACCACCACACACCACACACACACCCACACACCCACCAAACACACCCACACCACCACCAAACACACCCACACACCACCAAACACACCCACACACCACCAAACACACCCACACACCACCAAACACACCCACACACCACCAAACACACCCACACACCACCAAACACACCCACACACCACACACACCACCACACCCCCACCACACCCCACCACACACCACCACACACCACCACACACCACCACACACCACCACCACCACACACCACCACACCACACCCCACACACCACACACACCACCACACACCACCACACACCACCACACACCACCACACACCACCACACACCACCACACACCACCACACACCACCACACACCACCACACACCACCACACACCACCACACACACCACACACCACCACACACCACCACACACCACCACACACCACCACACACCACCACACACCGCCACACACCACCACACACCACCACCACACACCACCACACACCACCACACACCACACACACACCACCACCACACCACACACACACCCCACACACCACCACACACCACCCACACACACCACCACACACCACCACACACCACCACACACCACCACACACACCCCCACACACCACCACACACCCCACACACACACCCACACACCCCCACACACCACCACACACCCACCACACCCCCCACACACCACCACACACCACCACACACCACCACACACACCACACACCCCCACACACCACACACCACACACCCCCACACACACCCCACACACCACACACACCCCCACACACCACCACACACACCCCCACACACCACCACACACCCCCACACACCACACACACCACCACACACCACCACACACCCCCACACACCCCCACACACCCCCACACACCACCACACACCCCCACACACCACCACACACCCCCACACACCACCACACACCACCACACACCACCACACACCACCACACACCACCCACACACCCCCACACACCACCACACACCACCACACACCCCCACACACCCCCACACACCACCACACACCACCACACACCACCACACACCACCCACACACCCCCACACACCACACACACACCACCACACACCACCCACACACCTCCACACACCCCCACACACCCCCACACACCCCCCACACACCCCCACACACCCCCCACACACCCCCACACACCCCCACACACCCCCACACACCCCCACACACCCCCACACACCACCACACACCACCACACACCACCACACACCCCCACACACCCCCACACACCCCCACACACCACCACACACCACCACACACCCCCACACACCCCCACACACCCCCACACACCCCCACACACCACCACACACTGCACACATAAGGAGGAAGTCCATGATATCACCTCCAAGGAAGCCGGAAATCTCTCCGCCTCACAAGAGCTGAACACCAAACACGTTTTATTTTGTTGTCTATCTTAACTGTTTATTAAGAAAAAGGCCTTCCATTACTCATGTACATAAGTGCTAGTTTATATATATATATATATATATATATATATATATATATATATATATATATATATATATATATATATATATATATATATGACGTGTACACCTGTAAACCTCGTGCATGTAGGGCAAATATATCACCCTAGTACTGCTGTAGGGCAAATATATCACCCCAGTACTGTTGTAGGGTAAATAGATCACCCCAGTACTGTTGTAGGGCAAATAGATCACCCCAGTACTGCTGTAGGGTAAATAGATCACCCCAGTACTGTTGTAGGGTAAATAGATCACCCCAGTACTGTTGTAAGGTAAATAGATCACCCCAGTACTGTTGTAGGGTAAATAGATCACCCCAGTACTGTTGTAGGGCAAATAGATCACCCCAGTACTGTTGTAGGGTAAATAGATCACCCCAGTACTGTTGTAAGGTAAATAGATCACCCTAGTACTGTTGTACGGTAAATAGATCACCCCAGTACTGCTGTAGGGTAAATAGATCACCCCAGTACTGTTGTAGGGTAAATAGATCACCCCAGTACTGTTGTAGGGTAAATAGATCACCCCAGTACTGTTGTAGGGTAAATAGATCACCCCAGTACTGTTGTAGGGTAAATAGATCACCCCAGTACTGTTGTAGGGTAAATAGATCACCCCAGTACTGCTGTAGGACAAATATATCACCCCAGTACTGTTGTAGGGTAAATAGATCACCCCAGTACTGTTGTAGGGTAAATAGATCACCCCAGTACTGTTGTAGGGTAAATAGATCACCCCAGTACTGTTGTAGGGTAAATAGATCACCCCAGTACTGTTGTAGGGTAAATAGATCACCCCAGTACTGTTGTAGGGTAAATAGATCACCCCAGTACTGCTGTAGGATAAATATATCACCCCAGTACTGTTGTAGGGTAAATAGATCACCCCAGTACTGTTGTAGGGTAAATAGATCACCCCAGTACTGTTGTAGGGTAAATAGATCACCCCAGTACTGTTGTAAGGTAAATAGATCACCCCAGTACTGTTGTAGGGTAAATAGATCACCCCAGTACTGTTGTAGGGCAAATAGATCACCCCAGTACTGTTGTAGGGTAAATAGATCACCCCAGTACTGTTGTAGGGTAAATAGATCACCCCAGTACTGTTGTAAGGTAAATAGATCACCCCAGTACTGTTGTATGGTAAATAGATCACCCCAGTACTGCTGTAGGGTAAATAGATCACCCCAGTACTGTTGTAGGGTAAATAGATCACCCCAGTACTGTTGTAGGGTAAATAGATCACCCCAGTACTGTTGTAGGGTAAATAGATCACCCCAGTACTGTTGTAGGGTAAATAGATCACCCCAGTACTGCTGTAGGACAAATATATCACCCCAGTACTGTTGTAGGGTAAATAGATCACCCCAGTACTGTTGTAGGGTAAATAGATCACCCCAGTACTGTTGTAGGGTAAATAGATCACCCCAGTACTGTTGTAGGGTAAATAGATCACCCCAGTACTGTTGTAGGGTAAATAGATCACTTTTAGCTGATCTATCACCTTTAGATCACTTTCTTTTTAATCTTTTTTTCTAAAACATTTATTTGAATATTTAATTTTAAATTGGTTTGGTTTGCATATGTAATCATTTTGCAATACTTCTTTAAGACTTTTGTATAGATTTCTTAAATCTGTTTAGTTTTTATTTTATTTTTAAGTAAGAAATTGTAAGACTTATGTATATATATTCAATATATTTAATTTTCTAATTTGATATTAGCGTTGCTGTTTCTCTTTGTCCATTGGCTAAGACCTAATGGATGCATTTGGTGCTTTCTATTGATAATTACTTAACATAAGTCGCCTTGTAAGAATATGCTCGTCATATTTACTAAGAATGTTGTATTATAGAATATAATTCTTTTCAATTATCATGAAATTTGTTTTTTTCTTATGTAGAACATTATTCTTCCATTTCTAGTCATCAACTTATTGTTAACATGTAGCAGTAAATAAAGAATATTTTGGTAAAGTAAAGAAGATATATTTCTTTGCACATTTATTTTAAGACTCAAAATTTGAACTCCCAAATATTACAAAAATTTACATACAAGCACACAATGGAACCATTTGTTATGACAAACTTATCTTGGTAAGATTACAGTAAGACCTATCATGATGAAATGACAATAATATTGACAATAATAACATAACAAATAGTTCGCTAGACACAGGGTTAAGTAATTATGACAACGAGATCTATCGTGAGTAATGGAAGATGATTAATGACATGACTCTGGTCCTCGGTGGTGAGTGATGCGATGAATACTGAGCTAGGTTACTCTCTTGGCTCCTTGCCCTGGCGGCTGGCATGGGTGGTTTAACCACGTCGCTCTCACAAGCGGTATGGGTGGTTTAACCACGTCGCTCTCACAAGCGGTATGGGTGGTTTAACCACGTCGCTCTCACAAGCGGTGTGGGTGGTTTGACCACGTCGCTCTCACAAGCGGTATGGGTGGTTTAACCACGTCGCTCTCACAAGCGGCGTGGGTGGTTTAACCACGTCGCTCTCACAAAGCATTGCGGGGCGGGTCACCAGTTCAAGAGCCACCTAGGGTGACCCTTCTATCGGGAGGGTTTAGACTGGTGTCCGCCCCCTATACATGACTGGCGGTGCGGGCGGGGCGGGAGCAAGCAGTTGCAGTCCTTGTCACCTCGACCCCGAGTTGCTGCTGCTGCGTGCTCCAGGACCCTCTCGTACACAACAGCTGTTCCTCCTCTTCCTTTCCTTCTGTTTCTCTTCTTCCTCTCTTTATTGCCACCGCTAATCCTCGCGCTGTCCATCTGTCCGCCTGAGAGTGAGAATATCGGGGCCACAGAGTGGCTTTGTACTCTGGTAAGCGATGCCCAACTTTGCATTACGCTTCCAAGATGAACTCCTGGGGGGTTGGAGGCGGCGTCTTTTTGGAAAGGTTAAGTGGTTGCGAATCTGCGATGTCCACCTGGAGTTCGACTACAGGAGACGACGATGTCCTTTGGGGTTGAACGCCCATGCCCGAATGGTGCCCGCTCATGCCCTGTGACGGCGACGGGGATGACGATGCCCCGGGGGACGAAGAAGGCTGCGCCCCGAGGCCTAATGGCGTCGTAGACATCCTTGGCTCGTAGTAGCGTGAGGGTGTAGGTGTTGTGAGCAAGTGTACACGCGGTTGTGCCGTGACGGTGGGTTGCATAGGACTGAGGCTGCCACTACTGCAGCCCCGTGTAGATGGGCATGACCAGGTGGATACCGGCGGCTGCAGGCGATCCATGGCATTCTGTGGGACGTAATATGGCGCGGGAGAAACCCTGGCTGTTGAAGATAACCTTTCCCGAACCTCAGTTCGCATGATCATTGAGTGGAGGAGATCTGCTCGTCGCATAGCGTCCTCGGATATCTTGGAGCCTTCAAGCAGAGTTCGGGCGAGGGTGGAGTGCGAGGCAGCTAGACTGGGCACACACAGGGTAGACGCCAAGGTGGACGCCAAGGTAGAGTGTGTTGCGGCTAGCGAGTGTTGTGGTGGCTGAGCCAGAGTCTGAGCCAACAGGGAAGTTGTAGGTTGAGAGGAATGGGGTTCTTCCTCCCGCCGGAGAGCTCGGAATTTCTTGTGGGGTTTGTAGGCCTCCTCCATGAGTAGGTCGGTGTTGATGATGGGCGGTGCCTGCAGGGCACGACGCAACACCGACATGTCTTCCTCGCGATCTTCCTCACTCTTTTCGTCGATTGAGGACCGTGGAGAGGAGCACACTGATGGCGAGGAGAGCTTGTCACTACGATCAGTTCCGCTTTCAATGCCAGAGTCGTCTGGGCTGTCTGATTTTCTCTTGCTGAAGGGACACTTGAGAGGAGACTCTGTCCCTTCATCGCCAGACGATGCGCCTTCGGAGTTATCATGGCGCCTGCGCACTAGAGGGAATGGCGGGCGTAGCTCGGTGTATCCGGACACTTCACTGCCACATATCGACTCTCCGGAACTGGCAGATTCCCCGGAATAGATGGATTCTGAGCACGACACGGGGGAACGCATGGCTTCGTCAGCAGCACATGAGGAAGATGGTGACCCGACGCTGCTCTCATGCTCCATGCTCCAAGAAGAGCGGGAGTCGTCCCAGGGCCCCGCGCCGCTGGCCGTGTGCTCCGTCATCTTGTACTTGAGAAGCTTCTCGGAGTGCAGGGTGTTGAGTGTCCGTAAGTCGGGGATTTTGGAAAGCAGCTCTCTGTGTAAGCTTGGGTTTTCCGGGTGATGTTTGGATACAACAGCTTGCAGGCAGTTGATAAGACGTCTCTGGACGCGCTCCACCAGCTCGGCGTTGCGCAGTCCAGGACGGTCTGGCGCCAACACGACAACAGCGCAGAAGAGTGCCAACTCGGCATCACTCAGACACAGACTGTTGACGCGTTCGGCAAAGTCAAACATCGAGTCCATCAGGAAGCGAGCGTTAACAGATGTATGAAGTGCCTCCCGGCGAAGGAGCTGACCATTGAGGCATAGCATGGTATTGGTACGGGCGTCGAACATGGCCGCCAGACGCACCAGGAGTACCTCGAACACTCCAGCCTTCAGGAGCGTAACCTGGTCCTCTTGTGGCAACTGCTGGAACCCAGGCAGTCGCTTGGCGAACTCCACAACGCCACGAATGGCAGGGGAGAAGCGTTCACTGAAGTCCTGTACAAGCTCCTGCTGGCCGTGGAGGGGCACTGGCCGGGGGTTCAGTGGGCATGCCTGTGAAAGAAAGAAAAACAAACGTTAGCATACCTCAACGACTCGGCCACAAAGAAAATATGCAACCATATTACATAACATTAACTTAAATAGATAATCCCCTCCTGCCAAGGCTACCCTAGCTTGCTTTGTCCCCTAGCTTGCTTTGTACCTTGCTTGCTTTGTCCCTAGCTAGTACCTAGCTTGCTTTGTCCCTAGCTGGTACCTAGCTTGTTTTGTCCCCCTCCCCCTCCCCCACAAAAACACTATTCCTGCTGTATGATAAACATATTAACATATAACCTTCAAGATGATTATAACTGTACATCAAGTGATGCTGAAATGCTGAAATGGCTTCTCCGGGGCTCAAGGTTATGCTGCTGGGAAGGTGAGCAGCATGGAGGATCGATGAGCTAAATTTAAGATTCTGACAAAGTTATTGCAACACTCCACCTTGCTTCCTCGTGTCAGCCACACGCCACGGTGTGACCCCACTGACACCCCCCCACTCTCACACACACACACAGTATAACCTCTTATACATCGTATCCGCAGTATGATAATCCTGTATAAGAGGATACTGTATATAACTACTTATCATGAATCCTTCATCACGTCTGGTCACACTGGACGAGAGGCGGAGTTTGTGGGAAGTCCTTCAAATACCCGCTGATAACCAAGTATTTACACGTGTCCTTCAAACAACCTTCGATTACCCCTAAGGGGGGAGAGTGAGACTTCAGACCCCTGTACCTGGGGCATGGGGTACCTCAGGGCATGGGCATGGGGAGGGGGGGAAGGGGGGTTCCTGAGGGGGGGGACCAGCCATGTGGAAGCGACCTCCCTCCAACCCCCCTCTCTCCGCTGCTCTGGTTAAACTCAATGTCCGGACAAAGAAAGGGACAATTATGTTTCTAATTTACAGGTCCTGCCTGGAGTGGTATGAAGTCCTTTGTTATGATCGAGTTAATGAAATATACATAAGACTCCCGCTACCTTCTCCCCCCAGGACGACCCCCACCCTCCCCAACTCCTCGCCTGAACGACCCCAACCACCCCAACAATGTACCCCTATGGATCCAGACGGCGTCCGATTCAACCCCCCTTCGATAATCTCTGTTTAAGTCCCTCCTCGGGATATTCCGTCAACGCCCCTGTGATATTGGTCGCTTCTCCCCTCACCCACACTCACGGAGGGGGAAGAAGCGCCCCCGGATGGTTACCTAACCCAGTATAAACAACGCGATCACAGAGGGTTTTTTTTCCTTTCTTTGTTATTGTTACTTGGATGCAATGTGGCAACAACGCAATAACGTTCTCTGGTGGACAGCTCCTCCACCCACCCACTCACTCACAACACCAAGGGAAGGTGGACCCTAGTTCATCTTCAGTACACGTGACCTTGAGCGCCATGCTGCCACATGTATCGCATACATGGCTCCAATAACCCCCCCCCCTTATATACGGCTCTCTGGGGTGTTTGGTACCTCATATTAATGGGGAGTACATTTGTGTTTTGTTTTCCTATTTAGAAACGTGCAGAAATCAGCAGTTTGGTCTTCTTTAGGCCGTGGCAAGACAGTACCCCCCCCCTTCCTCTCCCCCCCCTCAAGGGCTAGACAAGGCAGACAGACGCCCGTCTGCAATTCCACAGTGGAGATTCAGGGAGGGGGAAGGGGGGGGGGGGAATGGGGGATGTTTAGGACAAGGAGGAAATTGTTGCAAATTTGACACTAAGAGATGCCTGATTATCTCGAAATTTGTTATCAATAACCCTATCTGAAGTATCGCACTGGAAATACTATATAAATTAAGCTTATATCTACGAAAGAGAATGTTCAACTGGGTGGGATTTATGCGAGATTAGGGGAGGCGTCGCCTGATTGGTTGACACAGTAGTCAATTTTTGGCGGGTAAAGTTGGCGGGCTTCGTGACCTTGAAAGAGAGCGAACCCAAACCAAAAAAAGAAAAAACGTATTTTACCCGCCAACCGACCCCACCAAAGCTCGTGCAAATTCCTTGCAGCTGTCAAACGCTCTTGACGTTGAGCTCATCGCCTTGCTGAGAAAGGTCGACACAGTACACACTCCTGAGCGGTTCAGGTTGCGTCGAGGTGCAGTTTGGACCCACACCATCGCCAGGAACCACGCCTCCAGATTCACTTTGTTCGCTCCAGGTGGCGGCCAGCCAGCCAGCCAGCCGGCCGGACCATTCACTCCGGCCATAACACATGGTGGAAACTCCTCTTAGCGAGGGTGTTGCCACTATCACACTAGCCTCGAATATCCTCCTGTATAAGGAATGCCCTATTGAATGTTTGCTGGGTCGGGGGACACTGGAGCCCAACTCGACAGGTCAAAACCAAGTTTGCAAAATCAACACAAAGGAAAATAGCACCCAAAGTGAAAAGTAAGTCCAGTCAGTCCCCCAACACCATTCATCACTCATCCCAAACCATTCATTATTCATCACAACCACGTGCAGCGAGTGAGTCACACACACACACCTCTCATCCCCCCGGCCAAGTAAATATGATCCTTCAATTAAACCGTAAATTAAAAAATAAATAATCAAAAACTTCTGATCTTGTGCCCTTTTGCATGACAAGAAAAGTAATATAACTTAGCTCTTTTTTTTTTTTGATCAGCCAGCTTGTATGGGATCTTAGCGCGGTCGCTCCAATCAACAGCTTTCTAGATCAAGACACGGCGCCTCTCCTTAGGTATGGGACTTGGGCAGGAGAAGGAACCCCCCCCCCCCTACCTAACACTCCATATGCTCGACCATTTGACGGAGGCGCCGACGACGCCTCGCACAAGTAATCAATATCCCTCAGGTACACAGTGGGCTACGCTGCGCACTGGCACCCACAAGCTTATAGCTATCTCCCTTAATGCCTTACAGATGCGCATCAGTCTCCCCGCAGGTGTATACACACGTGAACAAGACCACCAAGGTGCAAGCCTCACTTGATGTTCTTAAGGGCTATTACAACCTCAGGGAGGCGGGGAGGGGTTATTAACGCCTAGGACCTCTTGAGGGGTCATTAAGACCGTCTGGAGGGTTATTAAGGCCACCACAACAGCTTGTTGATCAACCAGCAAATATATACTAGTGCAAGACTAAAGTACACTTTGCGTATATACATGGAGAAGCCGAATACACCTTCAGATGTATACAATAGACTTGATCAGGGCCAAGGGCCACTCCCCTAGACTACGGGGAGTCCATGCCATATGCTTTGTGTGTGTGGGGGGGGGGAGGGGAGGGGAGGGGGGGGGCGAGCTGTCTTCTGCAGCTGCCATCCCGACTACCAGACCAGGGCAGGGGAGGGCAGGGGAGGCAGCCAAGCGAGAATAAACACCTAAGATAAGCTGCCCCCCCTCCCCCCACACACACACACACCATGAACCACCAGAATATGCGGACTCTGCACGCTGACAACAATCCAACTCTCTTTTTAGGAAGCTGTTACACAAGAGGCACTCACAGCAGTCACCCTGAGGGACTCCTTAACAACCTCCTCCTCCTCCTCTCCTTAACAACCCTTCCTTCCTCCAAGTGTTACATCATATGGATCGTATGTTTGGAGGCCATCAATACATCCCCCCCCACCTTGTCCTTCAAACCCCCTCCCCTCCCCCCGCCCCCTACTGCCTTACCTCCCAAGCATCGCAGATGCGCGACATGCTATGCGCATTACCGACGCGCATGTGCTCATTAAAGAAACCGCTGCACAAGTCCAGTTCGAATGTCGAGCGACCACGTGTCCCTAAACACAGGGGCACTGTACGAATTAGGACTCGACTTTGCACTTGAGATAAGCGAACACCCCACCCCCCCCCTCCTACTCCCCTTCCAAGTAAACGACGCATTGGCGAGGACAGAATTGGAGGGGGTGGCTTGGAGGGGGTGGTGTGGAGAGGGACCTGTGGTGGTGGTGGTTTAGGGGGGTTGAAGTACGCCCTCTATGCGACCCAGTCCAAGGTTATCAGTGACGTCACGCCAAGCCCGTGTAGGTGCGCGAGAGAACGCGAGAGAGAACGCGAATCAGGACCCGCGAGAAAGCACAGAAAGGAAAGTAGGAAAACCATATTCTTGGTATTTTCGAAGCAGGAAAAGAAACTTTTAACATGGATTTTACTTGTACTGTAATGAGAGAGAGAGAGAGAGAGAGAGAGAGAGAGAGAGAGAGAATAGCTGGGACCACAAATGACGTCACTAATAAAGGTGGGAGGAAAGGTGGGAGGGTTACGTCAAACAGGTGGGCGAAGTGGAGGGAGGAAGGTGGGAGGGAGGTGGGAGAGAGGCAGCAACACACTGGATACAGACACCCAAGTTACACCTCAACATACCAATGATTATTTCATAGCATTCTCTCTCAATGTCTGAATACCTGCGTCTTTTTTTTTACATGCACAACACGCAGGGATAATTAATCGTTCATGACTGGTGAATTAAGTCAGTCTCAGTCTCTCTCTCTCTCTCTCTCTCTCTCTCTCTCTCTCTCTCTCTCTCTCTCTCTCTCTCTCTCTCTCTCTCTCTCTCTCTCTCTCTCTCTCTCTCTCTCTCTCTCTCCCAGTTAAGTCATAGAGTGGAGCTCCACCAGCCCACACCCCGACCCCAGTCCTGACCTTGGCTGACCGCTTGACTCCGGTTTCCCGCCAATGAGTCCGTCATCACGCTGGCTTGCTGAAATATGGCGCCATCTTGTCCCCGGCGCCTAACTCCCAAACGCGCAATTTTGGTCCCCCTCCCCCCCCCCCCCCCACCCTTCCATAACATCAACAAATTTCAATGCTTCACGGAATTAGAAACATCTGGTTCTAATAACTTACATCGTTACGATTACGACTTGGACTAAACAGCTGTTTAAAATCAAATTTAGATTTTGGGACACGTCTTCCAAGAAGTCTGAGTCACAATAATTTGCTATATCTATGCCAAAAGCCATCTTCCCCGCCTCCAAATATTTTATCATATGTATTTTAACTATTTCTTCCTCCCCCACTCCCCCGAAATCAATAACCGAGTGATATATGAAGAGCCAGAGGCCCCTTGTCCCGTCATGAAGCGGACAGACAGACAGAGACAGACGGACGGGCAGGCGGACATGCCACACTCCAGTCAGCCAGCTCGCTATCAGCGCTTATCTGCATGTGTCAACGGCTTCCTGGAGATAAGGGCTGTGTGGTGGTGAACTTGAACTCGTCTGACCTTGAGCGCCTCCTGTGCTGGCGGCAGCAGCTGCTGCTGCTGCTGGCCCACCACCACCGACCCCAAGCCTCGCCGGCCCCCATAACTCACTCCCTCGCTTTAAACCCATTCACCCATTATCAAATATTTTTTTCCTAATTTCCTTCGCTTGAATCATCGGAGGGTCGAACTCGGCCCTTAGAAAGTGCGAGACCATCGTCTATAGCTTGGTTAAAAGGAAAGCAGCACTTTTGGGACCTTCGTTCGAATCTCTGATGATCCCAGTGAAGAAAAGGAGATATATACATGATATATATATATATATATATATATATATATATATATATATATATATATATATATATATATATATATATAACGCCTTGAATGCTTCAATAGACCCACTATCTATTCCCAGACACCAAATCTATCGCACAGTCTATCGCACAAAGCTACCCGTCTACATACCCTAACGTGCATACCTCTAGCCAAATATTATAATCATTCTCCTGACACATGGACACATGAAGAATAGACAAAGCGCTACCCATAACTATACCCGAAAATACTACCATTCCCCTGTGAAGCAACATGATCAACAGATAAAAAGCTATCTCTCTATCCTAGATACTTGTCCTTTGTGACACATAGACAAAGAACTATCTCTACCAATATTACCCCAGAAATAATATAACTCCCTCCCCCGCCTTCCAACCAAAACACTATGGGGGTATAATAGATCATTACTCACCAGAGTAGGAGGGCATTGGGTGTAGCTAGGGTTGGTGCGGGCCTGCTGTAGCATGGGCGCCACTTTGTCTCTGGTGAACCCACACGTATCCATGTGAGCGCGGATGATAGCCGCTGTCACCCGCGTGTCATCATCCAGCTCAGCCAACACCGCCTTCTCCTGCGACCTGGCGTTCACGCTCTGCATAGCCGCTAGGATCTTGGCCTTCTCTCTCTTGGGCACACGTCCGAAGCGCACAGCTGTGGAAGACAAGAACATTTATTTAATAAATTGTTCCCCCCCTCGACAAATACAAAGCAAAAACAGTAATGATATATCAACGTGGTGGGATTTTAAGATCACTGAAGGGATCACGGGGGGTATAACATAGGGGTATAACATAGGGCTGCCAATAGACCAATAGACTCCTTGAGGTTTTAAATAAGTAACATGTTCTATGGCAAGTTGTTTAACAAGAGCAGAAATAAACAAATTTCCTCACTACATGTGTGTTTATATATTAACACTAAACACACTTGACCCCAGGTGTGTGTACACATATGTCATACCTTCACACACCTGTCCCCAGGTGTGTAAATGACTCAAAACATACGTAACAAATCAAATTATTTAACTTTCGAAAAATAATCTTAAAAAAAAATAGTGAAATTTCAAATAAATATCGCACTTCACACTAATAGATGAGCGAGGGTTGCTGGGGGAGTGCCCTCACCTGCTCCCCTCTCTCTCTCTCTCTCTCTCCCTCTTGGAAGGGCAACGACCCCCTCCCACACACGTGGCACCCACACCTTCTCCCCCACCCACCACAATATATATATATATATATATATATATATATATATATATATATATATATATATATATATATATATATATATGATTATTTGATTCATTGGTGATTCTAAAACAAAAGATAGAATCAACACTAATCAATACAAGGTACTTGTTCCACAAATTGGCAGTTATACCTCCCTCAACCGCGACTACAACACCTGGCATATCGATTTGTCCCTGTTTCCTCCCCCCCCCCCCCCCCCCATTCTGCTGGTCAATAAATGGGGAGGTACCTATTACCCGGTAAACTCCGCATAGTGTGTTCACTATGTTGGTCGGTTGGGTAAGCCTAATTCAAAATAAATCCGGATATGTGGTCCACCAAGTTGTGAGATTTCAAGTTGTACAAGGACCGGCCAAGCCCGCTTGGCAGGAGTAGAACTCTCGAAGTGAAATAGAGGTAAAATTCAGGTAAACTTACTCATATAGTGAGGGGCAACTCCATGCTGTAATAGTCCTTTAAGTATTGGTAAATCCTCCTCCGGCATTTTCATTTGCGTTGCTGTCTACAGACAGATATAAATCCACACAAGGGGTCAATCACCAATTCGATTGTTAGTAATCACTGTATTTCCACCAAAGATCAGTATAGCGTATCACAAACGTTAGATCACTGCATAAAGTATATAACGAAGCACTTGCAGAGTGGAGCACACGGTAGGGCAGGTAGCACACTAGGAACCAATAATGTATCCGTGTGTGTCTGTGTCTCAGTGTCAATGTGTTCTGAGGATCTCAGTCTCCCTGTCCGGTCCGGAGCTCGAGTTGTGAGCGACTGAAGAGATAGCGAGTACGCCGACTGCTGCGAGGTTGCTCCCCCCCCTTACCCCACCCCTCCCCCCCCTCCTACCTACCTACCTACCTTCCTACCTACCTACCTCCCTCCCTCCCTCCCTCCACCACCAGCTTACACACGCATACGACTTTCACCCGCCTCTCCACCACCACCAGCCCCCCACCCACTCTTACTTACACCTTCCCCTTGCTTTTCTTGTCGTTACGGGCGCCGTGGGACGTTGTCTCTATGGAACACTTTCTACCCTCCCCTCTGCTGCGGTTCCCTGCGCAAACTGCAACTCAAACCGGTGGCTGGGATAGGGGATAAGGGGCTGGGATGTATGCAGGGTAGGCGAGCGTAGCCTTGATGCCATAAGGTCGACAGTTGAATGGTGGATGCATTGCGGCACGCGTCTGCCTCCCTGTGACCTTATCATTGGCCACCTTCAAAACCCCACCTCCATCTCCTCCTCCTCCTCCTCCTGCTGCTGCTGCACCGGAAACGGCGTGTGTGGATACGTGGATACAGGTAGTGTCCGTACTTCCGTGTGGCTCCGTATCACATGCCCACCTAAGTCGTCCCATGTATCTCCCTTACAGTCATCAAAGTCGTCCCATGTATCTCAGTCATCAAAGTCGTCCATGTATCTCTCCCATACTCACCAAAGTCATCCATACCTCAGTCATATTCAACAAGATTTCTATTTGTTTTCCTAGAGGGCCATTAAACACAGTTTACCCACACCTTCCCCTTCCAATTCTACCCTCAACTTCCCGCCAATTCTACCCTCAACTTCCCGCCAATTCTACCCTCAACTTCCCGCCAATTCTACCCTCAACTTCCCGCCAATTCTACCCTCAACTTCCCGCCAATTCTACCCTCAACTTCCCGCCAATTCTACCCTCAACTTTCCGCCAATTCAGCTTACCTTTTCGGCAACTTTCCCCTCACCTTCACCTCCCGCCAACGCTACTCCCCCTTCCCGCTCGCCATGCCCCCCTTTACCTCCCCTCAGCTCCCCTCTCCCCCCCAAAACATGGCCGGCTCGATCGTTAAGGGGTCTATGAACCCGAGAGTGAGGGGTCGTCGACAGAGGGGAAATATAGCGCCAACTCAGACATACGCTCGGTCTAATTGTGGTATACCATCTCTTTCCCCCCTTGCCCCACCTTCCCTCCCCCTCCGTGGTGACTCAACGTTATATACATGTGTATACACATGTATACATGTGTATGTTACAGTCAGAGAGGTCTCTTTACTCTGTTTTAATTTTTGTTGCAGTTTATCCTGAAAGTATGTTTATAACCTAGCCCCCCCCCCCTCAGGTCACGTGTCCTTGTATGTGCGTGTGTATGCGTGAGGGAGGGGGGGAGGGGGTGTCGGTGTTTACATGTGTACGTTTGGGTGTATTCGCATACACAGTCTCCTCTGAGCACAAATTTTCAAAATACCACTGAGGAAACACGACTCTAAATCTACTTTCCAGATTTATTATACAGTGATTTTATAATACAACAGAGCCAGGAATGTCGCTTGGGGTGAGGGCGTGAGGGAGCATAACTCACTAGGGAGGGGCGGGGAGAGAAGGGGGGGGGGGGAGAAGGAGGGGGGAGAGAGACAAGCAGGAAGCACTCATATCACCGCCTCCTGGTTCAGGCATTTCCCGGTAGGAGAGTCCCCTCCCCCCCCCCTAGCAATGATGCACTCCGTGCCCCCCACTCCCCCCCACCCCCCAACATGCAACCCCACCCACTCCCCCCTTTTAAATCAGTTCAGAGTAACAAGGTCACTTCGTTATCCAGGAAAGAATGAATACTAATTACATTAACGCGTTGACTCCTAAGTTATCCTCGGCTTGTATGTATGGTACCATACATATGGTTGATACAATGGATATGCATAGTCACACAAGGGGGATATGTATACTTTTTGTCAGTCAATACTTCAGCACGACAAATATTAGAGAGGAGGCCTTGACGCGAAACATCTCACGCCCACCAACTCTAAAACCCGCATATTCAACCTTCGGTCACCCTCAAAAATCCAGTTTAAACAAAAATATTGAAATACGCACAAAAAATTAACGTGATCTTTACAGTGTGTGAGTGTGAGTGTGAGTGTGTGTGCGTGTGTGTGTGTGTGTGTGTGTGTGTGTGTGTGTGTGTGTGTGTGTGTGTGTGTGTGTGTGTGTGTGTGTGCGTGTGCGTGTGCGTGTGCGTGTGCGTGTGCGTGTGCGTGTGCGTGTGCGTGTGCGTGTGCGTGTGTGAGTGTGAGTGTGTGTGTGTGTGTGAGTGTGTGCGTGTGTGTTACCCTAGGCGCGTGTGCTATGGCGCGCGTGGGCCGGGTGTTGGGTTCGCGGAGGTTGGCTGACGTGAAACTCTACGGGTTTCACATGCCATGTTTGCTTAACTTAATTTATAACTAAATACAATCTTGGGTCTGCTTGGAATACATTTGGAGGTGAACAGAGGTATAAGGCCCCTCCCTAGACCAACAACTCCTCTTCCCTTATAATGCCACTACCACAGATCACCCGACTCTCAAACACCTTCTTATTGCTAAGATAATTGAAGGAAAAGAACTTACCATCCCGCCTTGAGGTCCTTGGAACGCGAGGAGCCATGGTGGCTGTCTTCGAGAAAGTCATGTGTGTGTGGGGGGGGGGGGGTCTTTCAATGGCTTGATCTATGCATCAAGTTTCACTGCTAAATGCCCATTGCGTGTCGTAAATAAAATCAAAACTTTCGCTAAGTGAAACACGCTTAAATAACTTCTTGATTACTCGGTCCAACTTTTTAAAAACAGGCGCAGTTTCAGCGTTCGTCAATCCAACTGCTAATATCAACTCCTGTCTACTAATACAGGTAGGTAGGGAGGTAGATAGGTAGGCAGGTAGGCTTTGCTAGCCCTTAGGGTGTTGAGGTGAAGTCCTGACTCCAAGACGTGATAATAGCCAGCTTTAGTCACTGCCAATCACCACCACCAGATTTTTAACTAATCAAGCCGGGTATAGTTCACTCTAGTTTCACTGGCGAGGTTGCGTGCGTTTGAGTGCATCCGGCGGAGTGCGTGCGGTCACTGCGGGAGGGTCCTCGGTACTGATGGAGGCCCCAGACTCATCGGGTCATCAACCCGTGCGTTCACTTTCCTACCGCTGACGTCAACGCCGCTAACTCATGCCGCAAGTAGGTCATCTGTGGATCCAAGCTTCGGCCGCTCCCATACGGTCCAAACTCCCCCAGCCGCCCTGTGGCTGCGTCGTCCCTATTAACCGGTACTCCCCACTACGCGTTTACACACACACACACACACACACACACACACACACACACACACACACACACACACACCCTGTGTGTGTGAATACACATACACAGGGACCTCGCGGTTGAGTGGATAGCGCTCGGGGAGGTCGTAGTCCTAATAGCCCGGGTTCGATTCCCAGCGGAGGCGGAAACAAATAGACAAAGTTTCTTTCACCCAGATGCCGCTGTTCACCTAGTATAAAATAGATACCTGGGAGTTAGACAGCTGCTATGGGCTGCTTTCTGGGGGATATATGTGTGTCAAAGAGTGACATGTGTATGTGTGTGTTATATGTAATAGATATAAGAGGAAAAACAGATTGGTTAGAAAGGCGGGGACCAAGAGCTAATAGCTCGATTTTGCAGACAAATAGTAAATACACAGGAAGAGAGAACACCTAAAATGTGGGTGTGGGTGTGTCGCCTCTCTCACACCCCCCACCCACTTCCCCCACACCCCCCACCCACTTCCCCCACACCCCCCACCCACTCCCCCATGTATATTCACACCCACATGTCCTCCTCCACCTACTTACCCCTACCAACGTATCCAACAAACTCGCCCATCGGCAGTTTTGTTGTCATATATGTGAATTTTGAGGTCCGAGTTCGAATTTCAGGAGGTAATCTTAGCGACTAAAATGTCAGTACAAACGCTAGTTTGTGGTGTGTGTGTGTGTGTGTGTGTGTGTGTGTGTGTGTGTGTGTGTGTGTGTGTGTGTGTGTGTGTGTGTGTGTGTGTGTGTGTGTGTGTGTGCGTGCGTGCATGCAAAAGGGGTGTTGGCTGGGAACATCTTCAGGTCAGGATCGGCCACTGACTTAAGGCTTTACCGCTTGCGATCAACAACGGTTCTTGGTCTGTGTAGCTGTGTCCCGCTGTGTCCCGCTGTGTCTAGCTGTGTCTAGCTGTGTCTAGCTGTGTCTCGCTGTGTCCCGCTGTGTCTCGCTGTGTCACGCTGTGTCTCGCTGTGTCTCGCTGTGTCTCGCTGTGTCTCGCTGTGTCCCGCTGTGTCTCGCTGTGTCACGCTGTGTCTCGCTGTGTCTCGCTGTGTCTCGCTGTGTCACGCTGTGTCTCGCTGTGTCTCGCTGTGTCTCGCTGTGTCTCGCTGTGTCTCGCTGTGTCCCGCTGTGTCACGCTGTGTCTCGCTGTGTCTCGCTGTGTCACGCTGTGTCTCGCTGTGTCCCGCTGTGTCACGCTGTGTCTCGCTGTGTCTCGCTGTGTCCCGCTGTGTCACGCTGTGCTTCGCTGTGTCACGCTGTGCTTCGCTGTGTCCCGCTGTGTCTCGCTGTGTCCCGCTGTGTCCCGCTGTGTCTCGCTGTGTCTCGCTGTGTCTCGCTGTGTCTCGCTGTGTCCCGCTGTGTCACGCTGTGTCACGCTGTGTCTCGCTGTGCCTCGTAGAATTGCCCAAGGCGTGGCTGGACAGCCTACCAGCCCAAGGCTATAGAATGAACAGGCAAAGCAGAAAGAAACTTCGGTGATGCGATTAAGCGAAAGATTCGTATTTGGAGCGATCTTTCTACCCGTTAGTTCAGCCTCTTATCTCTCACCTCTCTCTCTCTCTCTCCCCTCTGGCCACTACCTAATGCCCGCCCCCCTCACCCGATGCCCCCTCACCTTACCCGATGCCCTGCATGGAGCTAAATTCCAAGAGAACGGTTCAGTGGCATCTCTCTCTCTCACCCAATAACAGAGTCAACATTAGCTATGTAAAGTCTCATATGTCAGGTCCTGTTTACAGTCATATATTAAACTCAGGGGGAAAGATTCGTACCCAATAAGGCTTAGCAGAATGCCTGAGAACGAAGAGTATGAATATATCGACCAAATGAACGTATTAATACACGAAACAACATACGAGTACACGAATTATGGGAACGGCAGAAGGCCTATATTGATCCACGAGAGGCAGTTTTTATCTCTACACGAGAGGCAGTTTTTATCTCTACATGAGAGGCAGCTCCTATATATATCCACCCAAACTCATTTATATACCTGTGTAACCTACGCTTGAAATCATCCAGTAATCCCAGGTCTATACTATGGTGAGATCTTTTGTATCCTCTGTAATCCTTTTGGTTTTTTACTTGCGACGAATAAAATCAATCACTGTAAACCTAACACCAATTTATATCCATTACTTTACTATAAATTGGGTAGGATGCCCCGCAGTGCCCCAATACACCTAGGTTACAGGAATGATATCATTTGGGGGGGGGGTAGATAGGGGGAGGGGGGGAAGTGTAAAGGAGACGTTATCACTGATGATTGGGGATTGGGGAACGCCGGAGAGGGGGGGCGGGGGTTGGAGGGGGGGGAAGGTGAGGTAAGGGTCGGGTCGTTCACCCGTGCGGACAGACTACATCCTCCCCCCCCCCTCTCCCCCTCCCCCCAATCCATTTTATCATCCTTCTCTGCCGCGTTATTTAGGTCAACCCTGGCACTTGTTACTCTCTTGTCTCCGGTGATTGGCCCCATGACATTACTTGCGCAAGCACGCACGCACACACGCACGCGCACGCACACGCACACACACACACACACACACACACACACACACACACATGAAAGGCGGGATCCAAGAGTCAATGCTCGATCCTGCAGACACAACTAGGTGAGTACAACTAGGTGAGTACACACACACACCACACACACACACACACACACACACACACACACACACACACACACACACACACTCACAAACAAGAAACTTAGCATTAGAGCAAATAATATTGTTTAAGATCAAACCCTTTGATTATAAGACGCCCTCATCGTCCCTACCCCGCTCCAGCGCCCCGAGGCCTCGTAAAGGTGACAATGGCAGATCGTTATCTGTTTACCGGAGCTTAGGTCAGGCGGACCTCGTGTGTCTACCTCCCCCGGTACCCCAGTGAGGTCACGAAAGGTCATAGGTCAGAGTAGGCCAGTGAATGTGGGGGGGGGAGTTACTATTAACTATTACCCCAACCCCCCTTTCCCCATTTTTCCCACCCTTACTGACCCTCCACAAGGATGGAGTCAGCGACCCTCCACAAGGATGGAGTCAGCGACCCTCCACAAGGATGGAGTCAGCGACCCTCCACATGGATGGAGTCAGCGACCCTCCACATGGATGGAGTCAGCGACCCTCCAGAAGGGGCTAAGCAACACCCGGGTCAGGAGCCCCTGGACACATACTCGGAAACCTTCATAGACGTCAAGCCAGATATTGGGTGATAAGCCACAGTTCCCAGAACCATAGTTGGGCAGTTATTTTCCTGGAACAGGGTCATTTGACCTGATGTGACCTGTCGACACACACGTGCTAACTAGTACTTTTTTTTTTTTAGTTTTTTGTCTTACAAGCGTTTCTGCCATCTTAAAAGAGAAAGGTGTGTATGTGTACTCACCTATTTGTGCCCGCAGGATCGAGCGCTGGCTCTTGGCTCCCGCCTTTCTAGCTATCGGTTGTTTAAAGCAATGACTCCTGTCCTGCTTCCCTATCATGCCTAGTTTTAAAGCTGTGAAGAGTGTTTGCTTCCACAATGTGTTCCTTCAGTTCATTCTATTTCCCCACTACTCTCACTCTAAAAGAAAACTTCCTAACATCTCTGTGACTCATCTGAGGTGTCCACCCATATCCCCTTTGTTCTGTAGGTATTCTGTGTGAACATTTCGTCTATTTCAACTTTGTCAATTCCCCCTAAGTACTTTGTATGCTGCTATCATATCTCCCCGCTCTCCTTTTTTTTCTAACGTCGTTAGGTTCAGTTCCTTCAGTCGCTCCTCATATTCTATCTCATGCAACTCTGGGACTAGCCTCGTCGCAAATTGTTTAGTCTTTTCCAGTTTCCTAATGGAAAAGGAAAGTCTGTTTAGATGGGGTCTCCATGATGGGACTGCATACTCTAAGTCTAGTCTCACGTAGGCATTGTGTGTGTGTGTGTGTGGGGTGTGTGTGTGTTGTGTGTGGTGTGTGTGTGTGTGTGGGTGTGTGTGTGTGTGTGTGTGGGTGTGTGTGTGTGTGTGTTTTCATCTAAGTGGGCTGGAGAGTGGTTAAGCATCAACTCTTTTTAAGTTTCACCTCCTTACTTACAAATGGAATTCGTTGCTAGCAATACATTACGAATTTCTTGGAAGAAAGACTGAAGGGACAATGCCCTTAAGCCCTCATCTCGTGTTGCGGGCCAGAGGGTCATGAGGCACCGCAAAAAGTCTCAAGGCCTTGTCCTCTTCAGCCCCTACTTGCCCCAGATACCCCATTGCCCCTCCTCTTCCTCCTCCTCCTCCTCGACTGACCCCCTCCCTCCCTCTTCACCCTAACGGATGCAACGCTAGCACGGAAATTGAGAATCTTTGAACTAACGAGGATGAGTGAACACGTGGAGGCCAGTTGTCCCCCTCCCCCTAGTCAGTGACATCTTGTCAGGTCAGTGACATCTTGTCAGGCCAGTGACATATTGTCAGGCCAGAGTGACATCTTGTCAGGTCAGTGACATCTTGTCAGGCCAGTGACATCTTGTCAGGTCAGTGACATCTTGTCAGGTCAGTGACATCTTGTCAGGCCAGTGACATCTTGTCAGGCCAGTGACATCTTGTTATAACAGCACATAAATGAAAACTGCTAAAGTCTTATTGATCCATACGAGGCAGCACCTATTCATACGTATACATAAGACCCAATAGAGGAGACGATAGAGCAACCTCTAGCGTCTACCTGAGGGCTCTAGACAAAGCACAGGTACTCACCATCTCTAGACATGCCGACAGCAATGCATTTCTTCAGCCTACAATACTGGCACCGGTTTCGGTTGATGCGTAGGATAGAACATTGCTGGTTCTTGGTGCAGGGACGGTACTGAATCTTCTGCTGGATGCTGCGCCGGAAGAACCCCTGAAAAGGAGATAAGAATCATCTTAAAGGACTTCTGTTACAGACAAATACATGCAGACATAAATTTCATAATATATACCTGGTTGATGGGGTTCTGGGAGCTCTTCTACTCCCCAAGCCCGGCCCGAGGCTTATATATATATATATATATATATATATATATATATATATATATATATATAATATATATATATATATATATATATATATATATATATATATATATATATATTATATATATATATATATAGTGTGTATGTGTGTCCTTACCAAGCTGTATAAGACAACAAATTAATTCAATAAAAATAAGATAGTGAGACGAACTCTGGTTTTGGATTTTTGCATTTTCAAGAGAGGAGGTGGCTGATGGTCTCGCCTCGACCGCCGACACCAGGAAACACACAAGACGCTGGAGCCATCGTCCAGATATAAGGTGATCTTCCTCCAGGAAATACCGGTTGTGACGCGCGCGTGTGCGTGTGCGTGTGGCGTGGGAGGGCCGGCGACCGTGAACTTGAGACTAATCGTCAATGTTCCTGGTAGCTGGCGAGCTGTAAGGTTTCCCAGGAGAGCTGTGACGCACAGGGCTCGCTGAGGTGTGTCTGTGTGTGTGTGTGTGTGTGTGTGTGTGTGTGTGTGTGTGTGTGTGTGTGTTGTGTGTGTGTGTGTGTGTGTGTGGTGTGTGTGTGTGTGTGTGTGTGCGTGCGTGTGTGTGTGTACGTACTCATTTAGTACTCCCCTAGCTGTGCTTGCGAGGGTTGAGCTCTTGGCTCTTTGGTCCCGCCTCTCAATTGTCAATCAACTGATGTACAGGTTCCTGAGCCTATTGGGCTCTATCATATCTCGTGTCTGTGTGTGTGGTTTTAGTGTGTTTGTGTGTGTGGGTTTTAGTGTGTGTGTGTGTGTGTGTGTGTGGAGGGGGGAGTGGGGGGGGGGGAGAGTAGCGGTCCAGGGTGTGTACAGTAGGAAATTTTTTGTTTTTTTCCCCTCCCATGATGTACCTCACCTCCTGATAGCGCGGAGGGGGGGGGGAGGTGACGGTTCAATACGGCATCTGGACGTTACGGATGATGAGGGGTTCCTGAACCCCATTCATTAGGACATTCATGAGGGGGGGGGGTGAGTGAGGGGTTCACTGTGGCTTAAGATATGAGTCAACCGGTTAGCAACCCCTCCCCCCCACTAGACAGACCCAGACAGTCTGCCACCCGTTTAGACAGCGTCGTCTAGGGACGTAACTAAGGACGGGCCTTGCCAACAGGCGCAGGACCTGAAGGAGGTGTTTCCGAGAGAAGGGATAAAGACAGTTCAAGACACACACACACACACACACACACACACACACACACCGCCCACCACGTATTCATTAAGACCGATGACGTCACATACAGGGCTGGAGGTCTTGCGATTGACCGAAGGTTTAAGACCAATAGCCAATCACAGTCCACGCCTGCCTGCCTGCATGCATGCAGGGCTGTGATTGGTCAAAGGGTATACAGGAAGAATGACGTCATCAGCTGATGTCGAAACACAGCAATAGGCCAGGCCACATCCTCGCCCCCCCCCCTCTCTTACTCACCGGGGGTGTTGCCTGGGTCAACGTACTCACCACCTTACTCATTAATTCATCACTCACACCTGAGACACACACACACGTGATCCATTCTCCCTTTGAGTTGCCTATTCACCAAAATGCAACTGAATCATCTGGCCAGCGAGGTACGATACTGTGCAATAGTTTACGAGCTCGTAAAACGTACAATCCAAGCTTATTATGAACAACCTCGTAGACAGCTTCGGAGCTCAAACTGTCAAACTCAGCATAAACGTAAACACAGCCGCCATGATGGAGAAAAAGATGTACATGTTTCTTCAGTGGTTGTGTAAACGCTTGATGGACCCCTGATGTCTATAGCCAGTAAGCGAACCAGAATTGTTCAGTTTTGTCAATAAAATACAATTGATCTTAAGCAATCTAGTGTCCACCTGTCCATAGTGGACAGGTAAAGTGGAAACCGGATATCGTACTATCCAGGTAACTAGGCATCGAACCCCGTTACGTATGCTAAACAGGAGCAGGAAACGCCAACAGAAATAACAGGGGTAAACCCACAGGTGACTAGCCTCCAGTTGGGACACAACGCCCAACCTCTTGGAAAAGATTTCCTGCCCGGGCATCTCCGGGCTCCTCCGGTCATCTCCGAGCATCTCCGGGCTCCTCCGCCAAGCCTCTCCTCTGAGGGCGGCTTCTGTAGGCCCTTCAGCAACAGCCTATTCAGCTGACTGGCAGTTGAAAGGCAAAACCAAAGAGCTGAAGCTCAACTGAATGCAGAGCTAGACGAGTATACGGAGTGTAGTGGCTAGTGGACCTCATACCCATCCTGTGGGTGGTAGTGGACCTCATACCCATCCTGTGGGTGGTAGTGGACACCATACCCATCCTGTGGGTGGTAGTGGACCCCATACCCATCCTGTGGGTGGTAGTAGACCCCCATACCCATCCTGTGAGTGGTAGTGGAAGAGATCATAAGTGCATATAATGGTCTTAAGAACTGAACCCAAATATGCAATTGGCCAATCAAATTACAGCATTGATTAGCTAATGACACAGTTTGTTGACACATTCATCAATAGCCTATTGCCCATTTTGTGCTAATTGGGTTTAATTAACATGAAGGTTGCAGACACAAAATGGGGTCGAGAGCCCCCCATGGCGCGTTGGTCGAAAGTTGCAACCAACCAACCAACGCAGTATTCATCTTTGCAATTGCAACTGAAAGTGAGAATGTCTAAGCACCAGGCAGCCGGGGCTCCCCGCAAAACGTTCTAAGGTGGCCTTGAGGCAGAAGTGATTTGGCTTTCTTGGTTCCAGAACGTTCTAATCATGGTGCCTTTTTTGAGTCCAATCGGTGTGATTAGGCGATAGTGAGGAGGGAAGGAGGGTAATATTTTCAGGAATGCTTCCGGTAGAGTCTTCTGTACCTCTGCTTACCTTACCAGCCTTCTCCCCTTCACGCACACGCACGCGCACGCACACGCACACGCACGCACACACACACACACACGCAGCGCCCTGCTCCCTCTCCCTGGTCGAGGTTGGCACCATGGCGTCTGACCCAGATATCGGTCATTCAACTTCTCTCTCTCTCTCTCTCTCTCTCTCTCTCTCTCTCTCTCTCTCTCTCTCTCTCTCTCTCTCTCTCTCTCTAACACAGGAACATCTACCTCAAGAGGCAACACCATTTATTAAAGGCACAACAGAGGAAGAACTATGTAGGAGAGTATTGCTAGTATTACCTATTTACTAAACCCGTAAAATTGGGTGTAGTAGAATGGGTTTACGCAAGAGAGCCCATTCGCGCCTCGAGAGAAAGTGTGTGTACGCTTATTGAGAAGTTCAGCCAGTTGGCAGTCACTCGATTGCTAAGGCGAAGCCCAAGAGCTTAAAGCTCGATCCTGCAGGCACAAATAGCTGAGTAGGCTAATAACCTCCAAGCACCAGGCAGCTCAAACACCCCCCCCCCTCCCTCCCCTATTGTGTTGCCATCGCCCCAGTATTTACAACCAGGGCTCGCGCATGCACCCGGGATGACCCCCCCCCCCAGCCTCACATCTCTGGCTGATTAGATACGCTAAATATTATTCAAGGAACTGGTGTGTGTTTGTGTGTGTGTGTGTTGTGTGTGTGTGTGTGTGTCTTTTTACACAGCTGGGTACAGGAGTTGACGGTTTAATTCTGACTGCTATCAGCAGGCTAAAAGCTCTCTCTGTGTCTGTCTGTCTGTCTGTCTGTCTGTCTCTCTCTCTCTCTCTCTGTCTGTCTCTCTGTCTGTCTCTCTGTCTGTCTGTCTGTCTCTCTCTCTCTCTCTCTCTCTCTCTCTCTCTCTCTCTCTTGAAGCTAGCAAACCATCACAAGAAAGAGGAGACAAGAGATTAGCTTAAACAGTGTCTTGCTTCATGTTCAACAAAGGACGCACTTTGACCCAAATATATGATTCCCAAGTGCGCTTGTCCCCCCCCATCCAACCCCCCCCCTCGGGCCTACCACCTTGGAGCACTGAACCCTCTGACCCGCCATTCGCTACTCCCCATCACCCCCAACCTTGGGGTTGAGGGGGATTGCCCCACACTCCCTCATCGAACCCCACAACCTCCTCCCTCCCTCCTTCCCACACACCCTCGCCTGCCTATAAATCAAGTCACTGGAGTACAGTAAGGCAAATATTTGCGTAATGGTAACCCCCCTCCTCCCCCCATCTCTCTCTCTCTCTCTCCCCCTCGTCTTGAAATGCCTTGCCAGGCATTTGGTTGGTTGCGGGGTTGGTTGGTTGACCTCAAAGTCCAAATCTGGCACGTACGTCAGACTTGGTGGGGTTTGCATGAAGCGCGGTCATGCTTCTGTTTTTGGCACCATCATATCCCAGGTATACTAGCATCATATCCCAGTTACATCCCCACCCCCCTCAACCCTTCCCCTGCACACACACACACACCTAAATGTAAACCTACACATATCCCATATCCCGTCTACTCCCCCCCCCTTCCTCATCCTCCCCCCCCACACACACCCTCCCTACCCCCACACACACCCCTCCCCCTAACATCCCCCCACTTATAGCATACTCTTCCCCCCACGGTTGTTCCAGATCCCAAGGGCAATGCATTTCCTCGCGGAGTCACCGACCTGCAGCGGTGTCCCTGAATGAGGGGGGAGGAGGGGGGAGGGGGGGGGAAGAGGACCCAACCCCCTCCCTCCCCTCCCCCAAGCTGTGTATAGCCGGGATATACACAAAAAGTATGACCCACTTTCATGGTTGATAGTGACAGAGGTGTCTCATCAATGGTATCAGTGTGTTGAAAGGACATGTTTGTGTTTTCTCTCTCTCTCTCTCTCTCTCTCTCTCTCTCTCTCTCTCTCTCTCTCTCTCTCTCTCTCTCTCTCTCTCTCGTGGCAAAAGCGAAAACCAGAATAGTAGGGGGAGTGGCGCTGGGGGACAAGT